GTATATGTAAATATTGAATTATACCGCGTACTCTCTCTCTGTCTCTCTCTCTGTCTCTCTCTCTCTCTCTCTGTTCCTCTCTTTCTCGCTCTCTCATATGTGACGATTGCATGAGCTTATATCTTTTTTTTTTGTTTTTTTTGGTAATCTAACTAGAGCACAAGCGCGTTAGCCTCCGTGAGCCCTGTCTCAGGGATCGAACTGCGTCCTGCGTTGTGCAAAGGTATGAGCACTTTTGCGTATGGCTTGGTTCCCCGACCTGGCCCTTTTTTGTTTTTTTCCAAAATTTAGCTTGGTTAGGATAATCTGGGCCATTCGACGGTAAGTGAGGCTCGTTGTTTTCCCGACCTGGCGCTCCTTTTTTTTTTTTTTTTTTTTTTTTTTCACCCATGGGGGTCCTGTTGCATTCCAGCCCTCGGGGGCGTTTGTTCGGGGCGCCCGGCGTGTTTCGAACCTTCGATGATGATTTTATTTTCTTTCGATTTCTTTTTGGGTCATCAAATTGATTTGTCAAGAACTCGTTGAGCCGCGTTTTGGCGAGGAGCTTTTTCTTTCTTGTTTCTTTTTTAACGTCCTTTAAAGGGGTTATAAGACCCAGCCTTATCAGCACCGCAGGTATTCATAAGGATAGGGATACGAACTCATAATGGGACACTTGATACCCCCATTTACCAACAATGGGGCAGTTCGTCCGCTTAAGATCTCATTCAGGAAGGTTAATCCCCTATATCTCTCATAATGAGGTAGTTAATACCCTTATATAACTCATAATGGGGCAGTTAATCCCCTTACAGGGCAAGTGTAAAGAATTCTGTCCAAGCTCGCTCCGATGTCATAATGTTTGGGACGCTGGGTCCGTCTTTTCTTTTTTTTTTTTTTCCTTTGAAAAACCCAGGTTGTTGTAGACGCTGGATTATGGACATAACAGGTGTAGCTCCCCACGAATATGTCGGAGCCGTCATTGGTGGATTTCCAGGTCAGATCGATGCGCCTACCACCATCTTGACGACACATACACGCACACACACACACACACACACACACAGCTGGTTGTGCGGCTTTTGCCTCTCTCTCTCTCTCTCTCTCTCACACACACACACACACACACACACACATACAC